TTCTAGATCCAAAAGAACGATGCAAATTTTCACCAAAAACTTACATATATATTTTCTTCGACTCAGAGTGGGAGTACGATAGCAGGGAAAGCGATTTAGACCTTACAAGTCATCCATTGTGTGGCCACCCGAAAAGCATTTGATTTTTGCTTTTCTACAAGTGATTGTATTTTAATTCTAATTTTAAATACACGAAAGTATCTCGGTGTTGTTTTATTGAGCCACATTTTATAATTTTCCAGAAGTTCCCCTCGTATAAATCTTTTTTGTCCAGTCAGAACACCAACGAAGCTGAAGAAGGCATTGAAGCTAGGTATTACTGTAGGCCATATCAAATCTTCAAATTTATTTAAGCGTCCTATATATTAAGCTTAACTATTACTCTGCCTTTTTAAAGAGATGGATAAAGGAGTTGTAGGCAAAGGAAAGAATAAGACTTGTAGGGCAAACCTGTCCACTTTGACTGTTGTGTAAGGTGATGACAATAAGCTTATTTCTAGTGCCTTCATACCTAGTGTTTTGCTTAAAACAAATTTATTTTGCAGGAAGTTTTCCTCGTTTGAAAGTTATCTGCCATGGAAACATGTTTCCATATGGTCCTTCAGCAAAGACGAACCGGCAAAAGAGGTTAAGGGAAATAGGTACATGTACAACTGTACAATGTATTTACTATTGTTACCCAGTTTAATTTTAAACTAGGGCATAAATTATTGAATGAGGTAGAGTACGATGCGAAAGATTATGAAAATTGATTAGAATGATGTCCACCTCAGATCAGCATAATTCTGCACATCATATAAAAACCAAATAACAGTATTATTGTGTCATTTTTCCTTTTTAAACATTTCAACATTTGTAAACTATTTTTAAAAACTTTGGCCTTTTCCCAGCACAGTTCCAGGATATTGCTTATACTTCACAAAAAGTAGATAATATTCATCCAGAAACATGAATTGCATGTTCTTTCATTCCATCCAGTTTTAGTCAGAAAATTTAGCAATTTCATCTTGGTATAGATGTAAACACACATTTTTAGCCTCGTTGCTAGGCAAATATACCGTGTACTAACTTTGCTTCTAAAACCATATATCATGGAATCAAGGGTATATTGCTTGCATCCTCCAAATATGAAAAGTACCTGTTGGTTATGAATTAGATGGGGGCTTGAGCCAACTGAAAATGGTTACATATTTTGAATGAACAAGTTGTTTGTAAACGACCGACGTGCTTAAATCAGATAAGTTTATTAGTTACTTTACTGCTAGTTTAAAATAGCATTGACAGAATAGTCGCTATCAGATGTACTGCCTTTTAATCATTTAGACGATTTTAGCTATTCTCTGGCTGTTCTCATGCTAATATCCTGTGTGGAAAAGACTGACTATACTGAACGATGAGCTAAATAAGTTGTCAATTTGGTTTAGAGTTAACAGGCTTTCAGTAAACTTGAAAAAAAAAATTATTGTATTTAAACCATGCCAAAACCGTACAAATCAAATTAGATAACTTTTAATTAATGGCTAAAAAAATGATAAGGTAAAAGAAAGAGTTTTCTTGGGAGTAATCATGAATAAACATTTAAATTGGAAATCTGAAATCTATAAAGCCTTCCAAGTGGGACTTTGACAATTTATGCTGGACCACCAACGCCTGTTTAGAAGCCAGTGGTGCGACTTGCTTGAACTTTTGTTTTACTCTTCACTTCCCGCCACATATTCTTCACCAATTGCTCCATATCTCAGCTTTGGCCAAGCAGGTTGCCGTAACTCCACTTGTGCTTTACTTTTGTTTTTTTTTTTTTTTGCAGAACATCAAGAGGCCATGCAAGAGCCTAAGCTTTCTGTCCTTGATATGGTTTCTATGCTCAAATTCCAGAAATTAGGCACTGAACTAATCAACTAGTGACAAGGCAGGACACGGTTTGACATATATAAAATAAAACATGTCAGACAACTTAGGGACACTGGTTTTCTTGTTAACGTTTCACAATTATTTTCTTTTGGGCAGAAATTAAAGCTCTTGAGACAAGAGACAAAGGAACGATTAGGGGGTCTTTGCACTATGTAAAGTAAACAACAACTTTAATCACAGTAGCTAAGATCATTAATTATGTAGGTTTGAGTGCTAAGTACCCAGTCAACACATTTGACAACAATGCACATCACAAGTCAGCTAATCACATCAATGGAAACGAGCGTTGGCACAGAAGTTGACCATAAATGCTCACCATTGGGGATCAGGTGGGGCAGGCACTAAATGCAAGATGAAACAGTTGAATGTAATCTTGCCACCTTCAGTCTCACTGAAAGCAGTCCAGTTAAATTGCTTGCATGTGTCCACAGTTTTCATGCTGTATGTTTGGAAAAGTTGGAAAGATGCTACCATGTTATCTCTGTTGGCCTCACTTAAGGAGAGAAGTGACTAAACTTGCAAACAACTGGAACAAGCGGATGTCCTCCAGATTCACACAGAACAAAAGAAAGGGGGTATTACAGCTCAG